ATTACCTCACTGAGAACAGAACACATGTATTGTTTGTCACTACGCAATCAGGCCTCTTCCTCCCCCCGAACCCAACAACCAGTACAGTGCCTGGCACATGACAGTCCTCCAATATGTCTGACAAATACATAAATTAAGAAACAATATGTGAAATGGTACTATAGTAGCTGAATTCAGACTTCCAGTTTTATCAGCTCCTACTCCTGTTCTTCCTAATCCTAATTCAAAGAATCTAGAGATAAGTGGATTGCATTGGACAGTTGGTGTGAGTGTGTGTTCAAGATGTAGAGGTTAGAAAGACAACAGAACTGAATGTAGTCTTGTGAAAATGTCCATACTTCTCAATCTACAGACTGAATGCAATCCCTATCAAAATACCAAAGACATTCTTCACAGAAACAGAAAAAACAATCCTAACATTCATATGGAGCAACCAAAGACCCCAAATAGCCAAAGCAATCCTGACCAAAAAAATAAATAAATAAAGCTAGAGAACACTAGGACAAATGGAACAGAATAGAGAATCCAGATCAATCCACATACTTACAGCCAACTAATATTTGACAAAGGCACCAAGAACATATACTGGGGAAAGGACTGCTTATTCAATAAATGGTGCTGGAAAAGCTGGACATCCATATGTAGAAGAATTAAACTAGACCTGTACCTCCTACCATATACCAAAATCAACTCAAAATGGATTAAAGGCTTGAATATAAGACCTGAAACTATAAAACTCCTAAAAGAAAACCGAGGGGAAACACTTTAGGATGTAGGACTGGGCAAAGACTTTATGAATAAGACCCCAAAAGCATGAGCAACAAAAGAAAAAAATTAATAAATGGGATTATATCAAACTAAAAAGCTTCTGCACAGCAAAGGAAACAATCAACATAGTGAAAAGACAACCTACAGAATGGGAGAAAATATGTGCAAACTATGCATCTGACAAGGAATTAATATCCAGAATATACAAGTAACTCTCAAACAACTTGACAGTAAAAAAAACAAGTAGCCATTTAAAAAATGGATGAAGGAGCTGAATAGATTGAATAGACATACAAATGGCCAACAGACACATGAAAAAATGCTCAACATCACTAAGCATCAGGGAAATGCAAGTCAAAATCACACTGAGATATCATCTCACACCAGTTAGGCTAGCCATTATCAAAGAGAATAACAAACACTGGTGAGGATGCGGAGAAAAGGAAACCCTCCTACACTGCTGGTGGGACTGTAAATTAGTGATGCCATTATGGAAAACAGTATGGAGATTCCTGAAACAACTACAGATAGAACTGCCATCAGATAGAATTGCCATACGATCCAGCAATCCCACTGCTGGGTATACACCCAAAGGAATGGAAATCATGATGTCAAAGGGATACGTGCACTCCCATGTTTACCGCAGCTCTATTTACAATAGGCAAGAGTTGGAACCAACCTAAATATCCACTGATGGATGACTGGATAAGGATAATGTGATATACATACACAATGGAATACTACTAAGCAATAAAAATTCTGCCATTCACAGCAACATGAATTTAGAGAAAATTATGTTAAGTGAAATAAGCCAAGCACAGAAAGAAAAATACTACATGTCTTCACTTATAAGTGAGAGCTAAAAAATAAACAGAAAGATACAACAATCACAGTAATATGTTGTTCTTTTTTTTTTAAAAAAAAGATGACCGGTAAGGGGATCTTAACCCTTGACTTGGTGTTGTCAGCACCACGCTCTCCCAAGTGAGCCAACCAGCCATCGCTACACAGGGATCTGAACCCGTGGCCTTGGTACCATCGGCACCACACTCTCCCAAGTGAGCCACAGGCTGGCCCTATACATCCCAAGTGAGCCAACCAGCCATCGCTACACAGGGATCTGAACCCGTGGCCTTGGTACCATCAGCACCACACTCTCCCAAGTGAGCCACAGGCTGGCCCTATATGTTGAACTTTGAAAGGGAGAGAACAGAAGTGAGGTTACCAGAGGTGCAAAGGGGGACAGGGAGGTTAGTGAGAAATTGGTAAAGGGTCAAAAAGAATGATTACATTGTGTAATGATGAATATATTAATTATCTTGATTTGATCACCATGTATTTTACACAGGTATGCATTTTCAGCTCTGTAGCCATAGATATGTGTAATCAATCATACTTTAATAAAGAAATTTAAAAAAAAGAATTGACTGTAGTCAAGTATAAACATTCACTCCTTGCTTTTATTCACTGTATATGGGGGATTATTCTCCATTATTCTCTAATGAAGATAGTCTCTTTCAATGTCTGATTAAAAATCTTTTCAACAGGCCAATATAATCATCAGTTAATTCAATACGGCCCTGTAGGCCATACAGCCACAGAAGAAAGAAAACTACCAAAAGAATTATAAGGACAGAAGAAAACTATAATAATTAATAGAACTCAAGATTCTTTGACCTTGAGAAAGTCACAAGTTTTCCAAACCTCAGTCTCCTCATAAATAATGTGGAGAAGCAGGGGATGGTACACAGCAGGGGGAGCAGAAAGAATGGGGACAACAGCCTTTGCCCTGCTGACAGCACAGACTTGTTTTGAGGCCTATAAGAGAGACACCTCAAAGTTCTCTGTTTACTCCACATGTCTACACAGTCTATAGCACTTTAGAATTAGAAGGGACAACATGAGCAATGCACAGAAGTATTTTATTTTGTACATATTCTGGAAAGAACACAAACTGACTACTACCATTAAACTCGAGCTCCTAAAACCAATGAACACAAATCCTAATGCAAACATTAAGAAAGTGGAATTGAATTTAAGAGTTCACATATTTGCCAAACTTCACTGAGTTGCTCTTAGGCCAGTTGTTACGTTAGGGACTAAAGATACATTTAAAAAAATAAATAATAAGATACAGTCCTTCCCTCCAGAAGCTCACAATCTACCTATCTGTTTATCACTTAAAAAGTACTTATTATATGCCAGATATTCTTCTAAGCACTTCACAAATATTGACCTAATAGAAATAGATAAACTTAGGCCATTAGTTATAATTCAATATGCTAAACATCTAGTAGAAGTTTTGACAGTAGTGATAAGTTCTGGTTTGGAAAGAGGTGAAACAGTATAAAGTGCGTGGTTGTGAAGAACAGGCAGAATAACGGTATTTATGCTGCATCTTGAAGAATGAAGAGGGATCTGCCAGGGACTGAAGTGGAGCTGGAGGATGGGGAGCATTTCAAGTAAAGGGACCAGCTTGAGCAAAGGCTAAAGACAAGGAAGCTCATGAAGCTGCCTGTAGTTCATGGTCTAGTATGATTAGTAAGGAGAAGCTGGGAATAAAAAGCAGGCAAGTCTTTATACACAGTAGGAAGTCAATGAAGTGACTAGAGATATAATTAGATAATCATATGAAAAAATAATCCTGGTACAAGATAGAACTTGTATACATGTGTATGTATGTATATATATGTATGTATATTTTTAAAAGTTTTCCCCCTACATTTATTGGATCTTTTGACCCATCATATACAATCACATTGAATTCGATAAAAAATTAAGTACCTTCTTTGTTCTTTTCATTATGTTTTTCAGCAAGATTAGACAAAGACCTGGAGATAACAATAAACAAGTCAATATATTCAGAAACCATGTATTTGGACAGTTCAATTTTGAATTTTTCTGAGAGAAAAGTGTAAAACAGTACTTGAAACTGATGCCAAATTTTAATACAGAAGCAATCACTGAAACAGGGAAGACACTATGAATACTGTCACTCTTTGTTGGCATTTGGGATGGATAACATTTAAGATTCCTTTACTTTCTAATAATCTTTGAGAGACATATGGTGCCAGGAGCCTAAAGTTACATGGGATGCTAAATGATTCTTTAGGATTTATGATGATACTTTAAAACTCAGAAATCTGTGGAGCAATGAGAAACATTGCTACCTAAAGAATAATAGGAATAAAACATGATGAAACAACTGATGACTAGCTAAGTCAAAGTATTACATAAGAAGTAATTGTAAGCAGCAGTCGATGTTCTATAAGAACTGACAGTCTCCCTTTTCTATTGAGACAAAATATGGATTCCTTTACTCCAAATTATCAGGAAAAAGCAATACAATTTTTTCCTTAGCTTTTTTAAAAAACTAAGATCAGCGCAATAAAGTGTTGTTATCCATCATAAAATTGATATAGACTTACCATTCTAAATTGTCATCCAATAAAAAGAGCAGTTTCAATACTACTACAATGACAGCCACAGCTTGTACATCATATTTAACAGTTTTTGCCATTTTAGCTACAGGATCAAATGTCAGAAAATCCACTTCGGGGAGCAGAAAGAATGGGGACAACAGCCTTTGCCCTGCTGACAGCACAGACTTGTTTTGAGGCCTATAAGAGAGACACCTCAAAGTTCTCTGTTTACTCCACATGTCTACACAGTCTATAGCACTTTAGAATTAGAAGGGACAACATGAGCAATGCACAGAAGTATTTTATTTTGTACATATTCTGGAAAGAACACAAACTGACTACTACCATTAAACTCGAGCTCCTAAAACCAATGAACACAAATCCTAATGCAAACATTAAGAAAGTGGAATTGAATTTAAGAGTTCACATATTTGCCAAACTTCACTGAGTTGCTCTTAGGCCAGTTGTTACGTTAGGGACTAAAGATACATTTAAAAAAATAAATAATAAGATACAGTCCTTCCCTCCAGAAGCTCACAATCTACCTATCTGTTTATCACTTAAAAAGTACTTATTATATGCCAGATATTCTTCTAAGCACTTCACAAATATTGACCTAATAGAAATAGATAAACTTAGGCCATTAGTTATAATTCAATATGCTAAACATCTAGTAGAAGTTTTGACAGTAGTGATAAGTTCTGGTTTGGAAAGAGGTGAAACAGTATAAAGTGCGTGGTTGTGAAGAACAGGCAGAATAACGGTATTTATGCTGCATCTTGAAGAATGAAGAGGGATCTGCCAGGGACTGAAGTGGAGCTGGAGGATGGGGAGCATTTCAAGTAAAGGGACCAGCTTGAGCAAAGGCTAAAGACA